AACAAAGTAGTACCAAACCATTCCAACAGCATAATAAGGAAATTATACATCATGACCTAACAAGATATTTTTTTTGGTAGTACTGGGCTATAAACTCAAGGCCTCACATTGCTAGGCAAGTGTGTTCTACTACTTGAACTACATACCCTTCTCTGTTTCAATTATTTTTCAAGTAGAGTCTCATCTTTTTGCCCAGGGTAGGCTCCAGACATTTGATCTTCCTATCTACAGCCTTCATTGTATTTGGGATCATGTATGCATGCTGCCAGGCTCAGCTTATTGACTGAGATTTAGTGTCAGTAACTTTTTTTTTTTTTTTGTCGGTCATGGGGCTTGAACTCTGGGCCTGGGCGCTGTCCCTCAGCTCTTCAGCTCAAGGCGAGCGCTCTACCACTTGAGCTACAGCGCCACTTCCGGTTTTCTGGTGGTTTATTGGAGATAGGAGTCTCACGGTCTTTCCTGCCGTGGCTGGCTTTGAACCGCGATCCTCAGATCTCTGCCTCCTGAGTAGCTAGGATTACAGGCGTGAGCCACCAGCGCCGGGCTTAGTGTCAGTAACTTTTTGCCTTGACCTCAAATCTTGGAATTACAGTTGGAACTCAGCCTTGACTCTATGAGATTTTTTTTCCCCAAAATGCAGCTGTGGTTCTGTGAAACAGGCCCATTGAACACTGGTTTCCTCTTTGGCCTAGTGCATCTGGAACTGCACTTTTACTACTTTTCCGAAGCCAGTGAGGCAAAAACACACAAATAAGCTATGTGACCAGGCTTATTATTTACAGATAGGCACCACAGGATAAGAGAAGCTATTCATTCAGGATAAGAAGGTACTCCAAGACCAAGGAAAAGTTCCTAGGGCAGATGGGGTCTTGTCTGCACTTGCATTCCCTCTGAGAGCCCAGAAAGCAGTCTACTCCAGGGTTTTATATCCTCAGAGCCATTTGACACACTTGGCTAAACACTGAAGGACTGAAGGACATCCTATTTGCAGGGAGAACTGGAACAGAGCCCAGGTTGCTCTGTCAATCCCCTCTTATCATGGGATGTTGCATTCTCAGCACATTCTAGAGTGGTTCTTGAGAACTACAAGTGAGAAAGAGGGAGAACTGGGCCAGTTCAAGGTCCCTGGAGACCTACCTTGAAGTTCAATGTAAGAAAAGGGGTCAATATGGGCAGGCACCAGGGGCTCACACTTGTAATCCTAGCTACTCAAAAGGCTAAGAACTGAAGATCACGGTTCAAAGCCTACCAGGGCACAAAAGTCTGTGGGACTCTTATCACTGATTAACCACCAAAAAGCTGGAAGTGAAGCAGTGACTCAAGTGGTAGAGAGCTAGCCTTGAGCAAAACACCTTAGCAATAGCAGCCAGGCCCAGGTTTAAGCCTCAGGACTCTGTCTCTCTCTCTCTGTCTCTGCCTCTCTCTCTCTCTCATACACACACACACACACACACACACACACACACACACACACTCACAAATGTAATATAAACCTTAAAAGAAGGGTTAAGCAGGGTGCTCATGGCTCACACCTGTAATCCTAACTATACAGGCAGTTCAAAAGCTAGCCCGGGCAGAAAAATGAGACTTTTATCTCCAATAAACTACCAAAAAACCAGAAGTGGATATATGGCTTAAAGTGGTAGAGTGCTAGCCTTGAGCTGAAGAGCTGAGGTACAGCACCTAGGCCAAGTCCAAGCCCCATGACCTACAAGAAATAAAAGAAGGGTTAAAATGCATGGTTATCTCAACTAGTGAAGACAAGGTAATACCCTTTCATGAATGAAAAACTCGTAAAACTATGATTATAAGACATAAGGAATTTTTTTTCCTCTGTCCCTTCCTTTCTTCCCTTCCTCCCTTTTCCCCTCTCTCCCTCTTTTCTTCCTCTCTCCCTCTTCCCTTCCTCTCTCCCTCTTTCCTTTCCTTTCTTCCTTCATTTCCTCTGTTAGGGTCAAATCCAGGGCCATAGATATACTAGCAAGTGCCCTTTAATCTGAACTACATCCCTAGCCCAGAAACTTTTTAAATTTTTTTCTTTCTTTTCTTATTTATTTTTTAATTTTTAATTTTTTTTTTTTTGTCAGTCCTGGGGCTTGAACTCTGGGCCTAGGCACTGTCCCTGCCAGGCTCTTCAGCTCAAGGCAAGTACTCTGCCATTTGAGCCACAGCACCACTTCTGGTTTTCTAGTGGTTTATTGGAGATAAGAGTCTCACTGTCTTTTCTGTCCTGGCTGGCTTTGAACCACAATCCTCAGATCTCAGCCTCCTGAGTAGCTAGGATTACAGGTGTGAGCCACCAACGCCGAGCTTAAAGGATGCTTTTACTGTGAAATAACTAAAAGTCAAATACCGAGCTCCCTACCCCCACTTTGCATCTATCCTTTGTGATTGGAATCATTCCCTCATGCTGTCACTTTACAATTGCCTTGGGTTTCAGAAAGAAAAGGATTCACCAATAAGCACCTCAGGGACAGTGCCCAAGCCTTGAATTCAAGCCCTAGGACTGGTATTATAAAAGAAGAAGAAGAGAGCTGGGAAGGTGGCTCAGTGATAAGAGTGTTTGCCTTGCATGCATGAGGCCCTGGGTTCGATTCCTCAGCACCACATAAGCAAAAAGAACAAAGCCAGAAGTGGCATTGTGGCTCAAGTGGTAGAGCACTAGCCTTGAGCTGAAGAACTGAGGGACAGTGCCCAGGCCCAGAGTTCAGACCCCACAAATATAAATAAATAAATAAATAAATAATAAAACAAGCAGCCAAGAGGCAATGAGTGTCACTTGGCCTCAAGATTTCAAGGGAAGCCAGGCGCTGGTGGCTCACGCCTGTAATTCTAGCTACTCAGAAGGCTGAGATCTGAGGATCACGGTTCAAAGCCAGCCTGGGCAGGAAAGTCCATGAGACTCTTATCTCCAATAAACCACTAGAAAAACGGAAGTGGTGCTGTGGCTCAAGCTGTAGAGCACTTGCCTTGAGCTGAAGAGCGCAGGGACAGCATCCAAGCCCAGAGTTCGAGCCCCACGACTGACCAAAAAAAAAAAGAAAAAAAGAAAAAAAATTTCACAACCCACATCAATACAAGAGTAATGACCAATCTGAAAGGGAAATGACAAAATATATTCCATTTGCAAATGGAAAGAATGAAATACTAGGAATAAATTTTTATTGTCTTACTATGGTGAGGATTGAACTGAGATCTCAGTGCACATTAGATAAATGTGAATAATACTGGCCACTGAACAATATCCTAGGCCTCTTTGAAATAAATTTAATCAAAGATTAAAACTACAAAACATTGCTGAAAGGAATGAATATCTTTTGGTCTTGGACTAGAAGACTCAGTATTGCTATCAGGACATATAACATCAAAGTGATCTTCAGATTCAACATAATCTCTATCAAAATTGTGTTTTGTTTTGTTTTGTTGTTATGTTATTTTTGTCAGTCCTGGGGCTTGAGCTCAGGGCCTGGGCACTGTACCTGAACTCCTTTTGTTCAAGGCTATGACTCTACACTTGAGCCACAGCGCCACTTCTGGCTTTTTCTGTTTATATGGTACAGAGGAATCGAACCCAGGGCTTTAAGCATGTTAAGCAAGCACTCTATCACTGAGCCACACTCCCAGACCCTCTGTCTTGTTTTGTTTTGCAGAGGGATCTTGAATACCCAAAACAATCTTGAAAAAAAGAACAAAGTTGGAAAATTCACACTTCCCAATTTCAAAACTTATTACAAAGCTACAGTAATTAGAACAGTACACTGATGGCTGAGTAGTGATGGCTCATGCCTGTAATCCTAGCTACTTGGAAGACTGAGAATTGGAACATTACAGTTCCAGGTCACACTGGGATGAAAAGATTTCAAGACCTCAACCTATAACTAGGTGCACTGGTGCATCCTGTCATCCCAAGCTACATGGGAGGCTGAGATTAGGAGAATCCTGGTTCTAAGCCAGTCCAGCCAGAAAATTCCATGAGACTCTATCTCCATGGATGGGAAGATGGGCACAGTGGTGTGTACCTATGATCCTAGTGAGGATGAAAAGCCTGAAATAGATAGATAAAAGCACCATCACATGCTCAAGTGGCAAGTGAAACTCTATGCTAAAAATAACCATTAAAAACAGGGTTGGGGCCAGGCACCGGTGGCTCATGCCAGTAATCCTAGCTACTCAGGAGGCTGAGATCTGAGGATCCAGGTTCAAAGCCAGCCTGGGCAGGAAAGTCTGTGAGACTCTTATCTCCAATAAACCACTAGAAAACCAGAAGTGGTGCTGTGGCTCAAGTGGTAGAGCACTTGCCTTGAGCTGAAGAGTTGAGGGACAGCGCCCAAGCCCAGAGTTCAACCCCCATAACTGACAAAAAAACAACAAAAAACAGGGTTGGAAGTGTGGCTCAGTGGTATTTCACTGGTCTAGGAAGTGTGGGACCCTGAGTTCAAGCTCCCCAGTACTGTTATTTAAAAAAAGAAAGAAGGAAGGAAGGAAGGAAGGAAGGAAGGAAGGAAGGAAGGAAGGAAGGAAGGAAGGAAGGAAGGAAGGAAGGAAGGAAGGAAGGAAAAAGAAAGAAAGAACTGGGTGCCTGTGGCTCACACCTGTAATCCTAGGTACTCAGAAGGCTCAGTTTTGAGGATTGCAGTTTGCAACCAGCCTAGGCAAAAAAGCCCCCACGAGACTCATGTGTCCAATTACCTACTCAAAAACTGGAAAAGAAAAGTACCTCCTGGCCAGGTGTTGGTGGCTCATGCCTGTAACCCTAGCTATTAGGAAGCTGAGATATGAGGATCATGGTTCAAAGCCAGCCCGGGCAGGAAAGTCCATGAGCCACTTATCTCCAATTAACCACCAGAAAACTGAAAGTGGCACTGTGGCTCAGTGGCTCAAGAGGTAGAGTGCTCACTTTGAGCTGAAGAGCTGAGGGACAGCGCCACAACCAACAAAAAAAAAAAAAGAAAAAGAAAGAAAGAAAGGAAGGAAGGAAGGAAGGAAGAAAAGTACCTCCTGTGCTCGCTTTGGCAGCACATATACTAAAATTGGAACAATACAGAGAAGATAAGCATGGCCCCTGCACAAGGATGACATACAAATTGGTGAAGCATCCCATATAAGTCTATCCAATCGGTGGAAGGGAAAGGGAATCACAGAAACAGCAGGAGAAAGGATGAACTAATGCAACAATGATACTCACTTGACACACTATATTGGAAATGAGCTATACAACTTGGAGGGGAGAGGAATAGGGAGAGGTAAGCAGGAGAAAATGAGGGAGTGGATAATAGTGTTTAAAAAGAAATGTACTCATGGGGCTGGGAAGGTGGCTCAGTGGTAGAGCGCTTGCCTTGCATGCATGAGGTCCTGGGTTCCATTCCTCAGCACTACATAAGCAGAAAAAAAAAGCTGGGAGTGGCGCTGTGGCTCAAGTGGTAGAGTGCTATCCTTGAGCTGAGTTGCTGAGGGACAGTGCCCAGGCCCTGAGTTCAGGCCCCATGACCGGACCCCCCCAAAAAAAAGAAAAAAAAGAAATGTACTCATTACTTTACATGAATGTAACCCCCTATTCAACTCTTTATAATAAAGATTTTTTAAAAAGAAAGAAAAGTACCTCTTCATACTTATTAGCATAGCTATAATAAAACTTTCTTTAGATGTTCAGGTTTCCAAGGCCCCCAAATACTCTGCGACTGAGTTACCTCTTTTAGCTTGATAGCTAAAATTGTATGTGTGTGTGTGTGTGTGTGTGTGTGTGTGTGTGTGTGTGAATGAACATGCGTACACATACACACCAGTACTGGGGTTTGAATTCAGGTTCAGGGAGTGTTCCTTGGCTTTTTCACTCAAGGTTAGTGCTCTATCATTTGAGCCATAACTCCCTTTCCAGCCTTTCAGTGGTTAATTGGAGACTGGACTTTCCTGCCCAGGCTGGCTTGGAATTGTGATCCTCAGATTTCAGCTTCCTTAGTAGCTAGGATTTCAGGCATGAGCCACCAGCACCTGGCTATAGGAACCTTTTGTTTCTGAAGTATTCTGAGCATTGTGGCATAAATCTGTAATCCCAGGTATTCAGGAGGTAGAGGTAGGAAGATCTCGCACCCATATGAAAAGCAAACTGACAGCAAAAGGGCTGGTGACTGAGCTCAAGTGATAGCTAAGCCTGAGGCTCTGGGGTGGGGAGGAGGAGAAGGAAGGAAGGAAAGGTGAAACAAGGAAAGATGGAAAGAGACAAAAAAGGAAAGAAAGAAAAGGAAGTAAGTAAGGAAAGAAAAGAAAAAAAGAAAAAGAAAGAGAGAGAAAGGGGGTGGGAACGAAGGAAGGAAAGAAGGAAGGAAGGAAGGAAGGAAGGAAGGAAGGAAGGAAGGGACCAAAGAAAAAGGGAGAGAGGGAGAGAAGGAAGAAAGGAAGGAAAGGAGGAAAAAGACCAGTTAGGACCTGCTCTGGGTTATCTTATGCTATGAAAACAGCAGCTTTAAGCGTGTGTCTAGCTTGACCTACTATTTTATAGTGCCCCAGTTTCAACCTAAGCTACTCTATTTTGAGTATAAGTGAGGAAATAAAATGACACTACATCTTGTTTACAAAAGCAAACAACTACCACTTGCTAGCACACCACGAGACACTAATTGCTTTATATGTATCCATGAATAATTCCATCTGCAAATACATTAAATCATATTAGAAACATCAGACACATGGATTATGGATCACGCCAGATATAACCCCCCCATCTGGACTGTAAAAGGGAGGGCGTCCCAAATTGAGACTTGGCAGGCACGCTAACCTGTCACCCAGTCACAAGTCACAAGACACTTGCAGGAAAACTGCCAAAGTCAATGACTTCTCTCTGGGCTCCTGCTCATGGGCATTTTCTCCTGCCTGTGACACATAGTCCACTTCAAGGTGAATTTGAAATAACCTTACAATGCAGACTTGAATTTGACAACTCTCTGCCAGTGATGTATAAAACTATTTGGTTCCCCTACACAGGCTTTTCTATGTGTAAGTACTATTTCTTTGTTGCTGTCTTCAGTGCAGCACCTCTGAACTCTGCAACCTTTTAAAATCTCTTAGCCATTCTGTATCACATATACTGTTCTGTGTGCAGTGCAGTGTGTGATCTGAGACCTAATACTAGTAATCAAGCTGGAATAAAAGTACCTGTATTGCCAATGGTCCATGCCTATCAGGCAATCTCAGTAGTACTTGGCAGATTAGAGCCAAAAATAATTGACTTAACTTGTGGAACTGTTGTTAGTCAATAAATTCTGCCATTGTGGGAAAGACAAGAATACCTGTCTATGTTTCTGATACAACTGGCTAAACAACAAAAGTGTTGGTGAGGTTTCAGAGAAATTGGAAACTTCATACTTCACTAATAAGAGTGTAAAATGTTGGGCTGGGAAGGTGGCTCAGTGGTAGAGCGCTTGCCTTGCATGCTCGAGGCCCTGGGTTCGATTCCTCAGCACCACATAAGCAAAAAGAAAAAAGCCAGAAGTGGCACTGTGGCTCAAGTGGTAGAGCGCTAGCCTTGAGCTGAAGAGCTGAGGGACAGTGCCCAGGCCCAGAGTTCAGGCCCCACAACTGGACCCCCCCCCCAAAAAAAAAGTGTAAAATGTGGCTACTGTTGTTTATAATTTCCTTAAAAGCTAGTCAGAATTTCCACATGACCCAGCAATTCTATACCCAGATATATATCAGAAAGAATTATAAGCTGGGAATGGTGGTAACTTCTGTAATCCCAGCTTTTTGGAGGACAGAGGCAGATTTTCAAAGCCAGCCTGGGAAAGTTTGCAAAACTGTATTGCAAAAACAAAATAAAAGCAAAAGGGCAGGGGCCGTAGTTCAAGAATGCTTGTCTACCAAGCATGAAATCCTAGGTTCAATCCTTTGTACTACAAACAAACAAAACAAATCAATTACAAACAAGTATTCAAACACTTTTATGCTATTCTACATTTCAGTATTACTCGTAATAGCTAAAAGATGAAAACAACCCATGTCCATCAATAGATGACTGGATAAAATAATGTAGTGTTTACATATGGTGGAATTTTTTTTTTTTAATTCAGGGTCTGGTTGATGTCCTTGAGCCCTTTCACTCAAGGCTAGGGCTCTACCACTTTGAGCAACAGCACAATTTCTTGTTTTCTGGTGGTTCATTGAAGATAAAGTCTCACAGACTTTCCTGCCCTGGCTGGCTTTGAACTGCAATCCTCAGATCTTAGACTCCTGAGTAGCTAGGATTACAGGTATGAGCCACCCACACCTGGCTATGCAGTGGAATATTATTAAGCTATACAAAGGAATGAAGTTCTAATCTATGCTAAAATGAATGCATTTTGCTATTATACTAAGTTCAATAAGATGGACACAAAAGCACAAACCTCACTTATGTGAGGTTACTAGAGTAGTCAAATTTGTAAAGATAGAAAGTAGAAAGAACTAACAAGGGAAAGAAGAAAAGGAAAAATGGGAACTTGGCTAGGAATGTGGTTTAATGGTAGAGTGCTTGCCTAGCATACATGAAGCCGTGAGTAGTTCCCAGCCCAGAAGTCAAGCTCCACAACTGGCCAAAAAGATAAGTAAAAGAAAAAATGGGAACTTACTGCCTAATGACTAGAGTTTCTACTTGGAAATAGTGGTGATGGTTTGTACACTTACATTGTTAAAGTGACAAGTTGCTTTTTTGTTTATTTTTGTGTGGTTCTGGGGCTTGAACTCAGGTCCCGGGTACTGTTCCTTCCTTAGCTTTTTCACTCAAGGCTGGCTCTACCACTTGAGTCATAGTTCCACTTCCAGCTTTGGGAAGATAAGTGTCTCATGGACTTTCCTGCCCAGCTTGGCTTCAAAGTTGGATCCTCAGATCTCAGTCCCCTAAATAGTTAAGATTATAGGCATGAGACAATAGTGCCCAGCTCACCATTTCTTTTCCTTTTGCCAGTCCCAGGGCTTGAACTCTGGACCTGAGTGCTGTTCCTAAGCAGCTTTTGTTCAAGGATAATACTCTACCACTTGAACCTCAGAGCCACTTCTGACTTTTTCTGTGATTAACTGGAGATAAGAATCTCTTGGCCTGGTGCCGGGAGCTCTTGCCTGTAATCCTAGCTATTCAGGAGGCTGAGATCTGAGGATCAGTGGTTCAAAGCAGCCTGGGCAGGAAAGCCCATGAGACTCTTATCTCCAATAAACCACCAGAAAACCGGAAGTGGTGCTATGGCTCAAGTAGTAGAGTGCTAGCCTTGAGCTTAAGAGCTGAAGGACAGCACCCAGACCCAGATTTCAAGTCCCACGACTGAAAAACAAAAAAAGGACTTTCCTGCCTAGGCTGGCTTCAAACTGCAATTCTCAGCTCTTAGCCTTCTGAGTAGCTAGGATTACAGGCTTCACCACGTTTTAAGTGGGAGCAACAGCATATGAGGGTTGTTCCTTGGTCCCTTCACTTACCAGTTTTCAGATTCTTGCTCATATATCAGCCCAATTTTGCTATTATGCACTGTATTTTCCTCTTAAAAAAAAGGAAAACTGACATGCACCAGTGGCTCACACCTGTTATCCTAACTACTTAGGAGGCTGAGAACTGAGGAATGCAGTTCAAAGCCAGCCATGTAGGAAAGTCCATGAAACTTTTATTTATGTATTTTTTGCCATTCCTGAGGCATGAACTCTGAGCCTGGGCGCTGTCCCTCAGCTCTTCAGCTCAAGGCTAGCACTCTACCACTGGAACCACAGCGCCACTTCCTCCCTGAGCTTCTTTTGCTCAAAGTTAGCACTCTACCACTTGAGCCACAGTGCCTCTTCTGGCTTTTTCTGTGTATGTGGTACTGAGGAATTGAACCCATGGCTTCCTGTATGCTAGCACTCTACCACTAAGCCACATTCCCAGCTCCATGAAATTCTTATCTCCAATCAACCACTGAAAAGCTAGAAGTGGAGCTGTGGCTCAAGTAGTAGCACACAAACCTTCAGTCCAAAAACTCAGGGACAGCATCCAGGCCAAGTTTAAGCCTCAGGATTGGTGCACACGCACACACACTCACACAAAATCACCATTCTTTTAGAAATTGTTTTAGTCTATCACACCTGTTGGTGGTGCCATCACTTTGCTCTGAATATTGGCCAAAATTCAGATATTTGTGCTCTATGAAGCTATCATGCAGTGATCTCTGTCTCTTCGACCCCTTCCCCCAAAACTTCTGCTATGCCACAAGACACAGTTCTGTTTACAAGTAGTTCTTTATCTTGTAGCTACAGTATTTCCAGGACATTAGAGTCTGGAACTATGATTCTTCTCTGTCAGTCGTTTTGATGCAAATATCTCATCCTGCTATCTAGTTAATATACTCTTTAAATGGAGTCATTTATTTAAAAAGAAAACTATGATTAGCATAAATAGGAAAACATATTACTTGTCATATTTATCAAGGATAAACTGTCAACATACTTGATGACAGTTTGGTCCTCAGCTCCACCCACACCTGGGCCCCCTCCCATTCCTGGAGTTCCCTCCATACAGCTGGCCCCTCCTTCTCTCCGCCCAGACCCACCTGAACTCCAATCTACCTCACTTCCGATCCCTCAGACCCTCCGGCTACCTGAATGGTGAATGAGGCCATGTGCTCCCTCTTGGGGGAAATATGGCTCCTCTAATAAATCCTTATAATAATCTTTCTTCTGTGCCTGCCTGCCTCTGTGTGGTCCCCTAGGATGGATGTGTCCGATCCTCTAACAATGACAAAGCAGTTTAAGGTCTAACTCTATTACTGCCCACTTAAAGCTTTTTTTTTGTTTTTTCTGGGTCCAGTAGTGGGGCCTGAACTCTGGGCCTGGGCGCTGTCAGCTCTTCAGCTCAAGGCTAGCGCTCTACCACTTGAGCCACAGCGCCACTTCCAGCTTTTTTTCTTTTTGCTTATGCGGTGCTGAGGAATGGAACCCAGGGCCTCTAGCATGCAAGGCATGCACTCTATCACAGAGCCACCTTCCCAGCCCCGCCCCCCCCCCCCCCCCCCCCTTAAAGCTTTGAGCCTAGGGTCTGATTGTCTTCTGCCAAAAGGGTTAACAAGCCTGGAATTAGATATAGGCTTGAACTGCGGTTTTCTTCCGCTTGTAACGAGGACAAACTGCAAAGCAGACATAATATATGGTTGACCACAATTTACCATGTGTCGACAATTCTGAGACAAAAATTTCCCCCTAATTTTACGTATGCATAGTTTCCCTTTGTAGCCCAGGCAGATCTCGAACTTGCGACCTTACAGCCTCCACTTCCCAAATGCTGGGCCTATAAGCATGTGCCACGACGCTCTGCACAGGCATCTTATTCCAGTGGCCACGCAAACACCGAAGCCCACGGATTCAATTTGGTCTCAGCGAAGACCAACAGGCCACTCCCGGCCGCCAGCGGGCCCGGACCCCGCAGCCCTCATTTGCGTGGAGGACCCGCAATGGCGGCGCGAGTCTGTGACGTCACCGCCACGCCCACAGCAGGCGGGGCGGGCCTCCTCTGGGGCCGGGCTACGCGCTGACGGGGCACGCCGGGGCGGGCCGGAGAGTTTGGTGCCCCGGAGTAGGGTGTCGGCGTTTCATTCGGGTGGAGCAGAGTCAGAGACAGGTAACCGCGCGTTGCCTTCGGGCCTGGCTCACGCTGGGAGGTGAGGCGCTGGTCGGCCGGGGCGGTGTGGTGGAGGGCGAGGCCTCTGCGCCCTTGGAGCCGCGGGCACGTAGGTGAAGGCAGTGGAGCCGGACGGATCCAGGCGGACCGAGGCGGCGGTGGTGGGAGGGGACGGAGCTTGACGGACAGACGTGCCGGCCAATTGGACGGCGGAGACCTCCCGGCGGGCGCGCGCGAGGACTCCGAGCCATTGGCTGTGAGTGACGGAGCGGGCGTCCTCGGCGGATGTAGGGCGCGGCGGAGACCGGGTGACCCCCAAGGTCGCGGTGTCGTCACGTGACGGCCCCGGCCGCGACCCCGTCGTCCGCGCGAGTCTTTGTCCGGCCGCCGTCCTTATGTCCTCGGCGTCCACAGGTCACGGCAGTGACCTTGGTCTCTGAGGCGGCTCGGGGAGAAGCCGCGCTCACGCATCCCGCCCCTCGCGGAGGGCGTGGTGTCGCGACGTGAGGCCGTGGGAGCTCCCGGGCACCCTGCCACCGTGCCCGCCCCGGCCCCTGACAGAGCCCACTCCCACCCAGCGTGTAGCGCGCCAGTTACAGAAATGACAGGTTTTGCCAGGGAATTTGTTGCGTGTAAATGCAGGTGTGGCCCAGTCTTCCTGAGGTCAGGGTGTGGCACGCAGAAGCGGCAGGTCCGAGGGGGGAGGACAGGTGGCTGCAGGTGAGGGCAGGCCGAGCGCTCTAGGGCATGCGCATGCGTGCTCAAAGTTCGTGGCTATAAATAGGTCTGCTCAGAAAATGGCGGCGTTAGCATCCTTTAAGGGTGGAGCTTTAGGAGCTCTGATGTCAAAAGGTCATTCACTGGACACCTGTACTAGCCCAAATAATAGCTCAAGTGCTTTATAACTAGTTTGGGATAGAAAATAAAAATTAAGCTTGGTTAACTCATGGTCAGAGGTGGTGTACTGCTGTTAGGTACCTGCCTGTTATGTGCCTTCCAAAGTTGCTGCTAAAAGTATCCGAAACAAGTGAAGTAAAGGGTGTGTTAAGATTTTTCTCAGAGTTTTATGACCTGATACACCCCACCGTCAGTGCACCCCTTTGCAACGACACTGAGCGGAGGAAACTTGCTGTCGTTTCCTTCGGTTTGGTGTTGCTTCCGTTCTGCACTTAAGTCACGGATCCAGATGTACAACTCTTAGTTGGCATCAGGATGAGTTGGTACTGGGTGCAACAGTCAGCTTTACCGTCAACGTTTTTTCCATCCCCATAAGGTGTTTTAAATTCGGGACTCGCGCTTGGCTTGCCTGCTTTCTACCACTTGTGCCATGCCTTCAGCTGGGCTCTCTGCTGTTTTTTTTTGTTGTTGTTGTTGTTTGTTTTGATGCCAGTCCTGGGACTTGAACTCAGGACCTGGACGTTGGCCCTGAACTTTTATGCTTAACACTAGTACTCTTAGCACTTGAGCCATAGCTCTACTTTCAGCTTTTTTGGCAGTTAGTTGGAGATTAGAGTCTCATAGACTTTGCTATCTCAGCTTCCTCAGTAGCTAGAATTACAGGTGAGCCACTGGCACCTGACTATGCTGTTTTTTTTTGGCGATGGAGTTGAAACAACCAAGCAGGCCTTGAACCAACATCTTCTGGGTTGTTATATTAGAGGTGTGAACTATTGGTGCCTGGCAATTTTATTTCCTATTTTTTAGCTATTGCTAACTACTACTACTACTACTATTTTGCTATGTAGACCCACCTGGTAGAGAAATATTTAACACTATGAAGCCAGGTGTCCTGGGTGGTGGCAAAGGCCTCTGCTGAAAAGCAACTTTCTGATGAGTCATTTTAAGGGAAGCTTGAGGATCTCTGTAGCTGTTCTGCTGAGTGTGCTTGGGGAGCACTAAACTGTGAGACAAGATGACTACAAACAGCCCACTTGTCAGTGTCTTAGGCTAATTGGGAGGCCTTTTTTTTTCCTCCAGTGCTGGGGATGTCTTGCATGCTAAGCAAGTACTCTTCCACTGAAGCTACACCCCCAGTCATGAAGACGGTTCTAATAAATAATATAAATATTTTTTGGTAACATTTCTTGATGTATAATAGCTTTTTTCAGCATTTGCATTTCTCACATACATATGGACATAAGCTGGGTATATTTTTTTGTTTTGGTACTTTTGGTGCTAGGGATTAAACCCAAGGCTAGACAAATGCTTTACCACTGAGCCACACCCACGACACTGAGTACAAAGAGTAAAACACAATTTCAGCTTGAAATCAGCATCTGCTTTGAAGAAAATTCATGACCAGGCAAGCATTAATCCAGCAAGTAATGCCCTTCCTGCTGGCTGAGACTGGTTTCCCTTTGGCTAGCTAGGACTCTTGAGAGGAATAGAAGCAGTCTTCATTCCCCTGCTTTCCTGAGGAATTAACCACCATCTAAACTAGATTCTGGAGGCAGCATTCCTAAAAGTGCCTGGAAGTGGGTTGAGCTCCTCTGGTAGACTTTATATTATTTACACACACACACACACACACACACACACACACACACACACACACAATTGTAGTTCTTTTTTCTTTTCTTTCTTTGCCAGTCCTGGGGCTTGAACTCAGGGCCTGTGCACTGTCCTTTAGCTTCTTTTGCTCAAGGATAGCATTCTACTATTTGAGCTACCTTGCCGTTTCTGGCCTTTTTTGTTTATGTGGTACTGAGGAATTGAACCCAGGGTTTCATGCATGCTAGGCAAGCACTCTCCCTCCAAACCACATTCCCAGCCTACTTTATTTTTTATATATAGCCCAGGTTGGCCTCAAACTCAAAATCCTCTTATATACCACCATGCCCAGTCTCTCAAAATTTCTTTTATAGGTAACAATTTTTGATCATTAGGAAATACTTTATGCACGTCAGCTGCCATATCTAGATCTTAACCTTTCTGCTATGTCCCAAATGCCCCTTCCCACTCCTGTCTACTCCAGGTCTCTCTTCCCACACTGACTTAAGCCTCTTCCTCCCTTTTTCCAACCCACTGGATAGAGGTTGCCCAAAAACCTGTGGCTTATATTTAGAGCAAAAGGAAGACTTTGTTATCAGGAGGATTGGCATTACATTGTGAGTTTGTACTGACAGTCCTATGACCTTGGTGGAACATAAGGGGACAGACCATTTAACAAACTTTCTAGACAATGTGTGGATTTAAACATGGGTTATTTAAAAACTGCTTTAGGAAGCTGGGCAGCGGTGGCTCACGCCCGTAATCCTAGCTACTGAGGAGGCTGAGATCTGAGGATCACAGTTCAAAGCCAGCCTGGGCAGGAAAGTCCATGAGACTCTTATCACCAATAAAAACCACTAGAAAACTGGAAGTGGTGCTGTGGGTCAAGTGGTAGAGCTCACCTTGAGTTGAAGAGTACAGGGACAGTGCCCAGGCCCAGAGTTCAAGCCCCACGACCAAAAAAACAAAAAAACAACTGCTTTAGGAGTTCTTTTTTTTAACCCTCCCCCCATTCCCCCCCCCCCCCCCCCCCCCCCCCCGTGTGCTTATTTGCTCAGATTGGGCTCCCCAGGGTTCATAAGGGTCTTTCATTGGGATGATCAGAACCCTGGACAAAGCCCTACTTGGCCTTCTTCCCTCTTCCGCAGAACAGGTTTAGCTTTTCTCTCCAACTCTTCCCACCTTCCTAGTTTCAGGGCCTTTTCCGTCTGGTTCACATCCTTCCTGCCTGAGATACTTCATCTGCATGGAGCCTGCCTCCCAGGAGAGTGTATTGGCATGTTCTTAAGCAACCAGGGATTTCTGTGTGATTTGGTTTTTAAATTGTTGGTTTGGTTTGTTGTTTTTTGAGACAGATCTTGTTATATAGCCCAGGTGGACTTTGAACTACAATCCTCCTGTCTCAGTTTCTTGAGTGCTGGGATTACAGGTGTGCCCTACTGCTATCTCCCCCTCTCTCTCCTTCCTTCCTTCCATCAATACCAGGAGGGTGTGGAGTGAACAGAGCAAGCTCGTATTCTCTCATCCAAAAATTTATTAAATATCTTGTCCTCAGAGGATGTATCAGATTAAACTGATAAGACTTGATATTGTAGTTGAAGCTGTGCACTCCTGGCTCAGTGGCACTTGTGGCTTGTGGCTCACAGCTGTAATCCTGGCTACTCAGGAGCCAAAGATTTGAGGATTATAGTATGATGCCAGCTGAGACAGGAAAGTCTTAGATTCTTATCTCCAACCAAGCACCCCACCTCCCCCCTAAAAAAAAAATCCAGTAGGAGCAGTGTGGCTCAAGTGGTTGGGCACTAAGCCTTGAGCAGAAAAGCTCTGGGCCAGCATCCAGGCTCTAAGCTCAAGCCCTAGGACCATCATTCATTCATTCATAGATAGATAGATAGGCTGGGAATCGATTATATTGATTACTCAAGGATAAATTGTATGAAGAGAAGCAAAGGCTTTTTCTTACTGTGAGGTAAATAGGTTTAATTAGGTAGCCAATGAAGAGAACACTACATGATATTCAGGCAGGAAAAGAAGTGTATTTACTGAATTGCTGCCCTGCTATGCATGGTGGAAAGCATTAGGGGAGACCGATCCTGGTCCAGAACTTATCTAGCCCAGGTACCAGAAGAGGTGTGGCCAGGTCGGGGAAAGGTGTAACTACACTGGATCCAGATGTGACCTCAGGGCCAGGGATTCTCCCCCCCCCCCCCCCAAGCTTGACCAGGGGCCACCAGGATATGACCTTGGAGGAGGGGGAGGTGACTGCTTCCAGGTGTGCCAGTTATGTAGGTAAGGCAGGTACTAGGAGGAGACTTGTGCTGGAGGTGGGGAGGCCAGGGTTCACATGGCCTGTGGCAGACCTTACACTAATTTCTTTGTGTTTTTCAGAATACTATGAATACAGCAAGTGTCTAATTTCTGGTTAGACTAGAACATCTTTTTGGGGGGTCAGTTTTGGGGCTTGAACTTGGCCTTGGCCAAGTTCACTGAGCCCTTTCATCCAAGGCTAGCTCTCTACCGCTTGAGCCATAGCGCCACTTCCAGTTTTCTAGTGGTTAATTGGAGATAAGTCTTAGGGACTTTCCTTCCTGGGCTGGCTTTGAACTGTGATCCTCAGATCTCAGCTTCCCGAGTAGCTAGAATTACAGGTGTGAGCCACTAACACCCAACTAGAAAAACTTACCATTTTGCAGTACATGCTAATCCTATAGGAACATAAGGATCATATGTATGATACTCTGCCATTGGTGCCAAACTTCCATTCTAGCTTTTTTACTAGTTAATTGCAGATGGAATCTCTCAGACTTTCTGCCAAAGCTGTCTTCAAGTCAAGATCCTTAGAAATCAGCCTCTTGGGTAGCTTGTATTACAGGTGTAGGCCAAAGTGTCTGGCCCAACATAGCCTTTTACTTGTTTATCATTCTTTTTTTTTTTTTGGAGGGGGTGGTGGGTGGGTTATGGGACTTGAACTCAGGGCCTGGGTGCTGTCCCTGAGCTAATTTGCTCAAGACTAGTGCTTTACCACTTTGAACCACCACGCTACTTCCGTGCTTAATTGGAGATAAGAGTCTCATGGCCTTTCCTGCCCAGGCTGGTTTTGAACTATGACCCTCAGATATCAGCCTCCTGAATAGCTAGGATTACAGGTGTGAGCCACCAGCATCTAGCACTGTCATGTTTCAGTGTATATACAAAGGGATTTTACTATGATAAATCATGTATATAATAATTTAGGTAAAATAATCTCATCTATTGTTCTCTTTACTGGTCCCCTCTAATCGCCCTCCCCGCATTGTTCAGTAACTTTCCTACAAATGCTCATTTTTAAACTTTTCTTTCTTGCTTTTGTCCACAGGTAGTTGTGACAGACTTCAGGACAAAAATGTTTCATTTAAGGACTTGTGCTACTAAGTTGAGGCCGTTGACGGCCTCCCAGACTGTTAAGACATTTTCACAAAACAAACCAGCAGCAATTAGGACGTTCCAACACATTCGGTGCTATTCTGCACCTGTTGCTGCTGAACCCTTTCTGAGTGGGACTAGTTCAAACTATGTAGAGGAGATGTACTGTGCTTGGTTGGAGAATCCCAAAAGTGTACATAAGGTAAGGCTTATAGGATATTTCCTGTGTTAATGTGTTGTCTGGTGCTGACTGGCTATGCAGGTAAGTGTGTGCATCCTAAAGTCAGTAGGCAGCTGAAGTAACACCAACCACCACATTGTCTGCATCAGAACTAGTATGATCTCCAGTAACCACAGTCCCTGGTGTGATGTCCAACAATAAACACGAGTCTCAGCGCTGCTGATCCATGAAGAAATACACCTGCAGACCTGGGAGGATGTGAGGAAGTACATGTGTGGCTCTTCAGGGTCTCTTTACTGGCTGCTTCAAGAAGAATCCTCTGAAGATGGAGTCCATGAGGGAAGAACAAGGGCCTCAAGACGCTACTCCATACTAATTATCCCATGAAGCCGCTTCTGTTTGACCTGTCTTAAAGTCATTTCACGTAATTTCTGTGTAATGGCCTTTTAGATGTAATGGCCTCATTATGTTTCCATTGTCCTCCTGTTTCTAATTTCTCTGTATTAGCTGGATAGGCATTTCTTTCTTAGCTGCCTTCATATCTGCTGGTAGATGTTTTGTTTATCCTATGGGTCAGTGAATATGTATATGCTTTTTCTGTGTGTGTGTCAGTACTGGTATTTGAATCAGGGCTTAACACCCTTACTTGGCTTCTTTCTCCCAAGACTGGTGCTCTACCCCTTGAGCCATGCCTCCAGTCCAGTTTTTGTTGACTAACTCGAGATGGAATTCTGCCTGAGCTGGCTTCTAAATACCATCCTCAGATCTCAGCCTCCTGAGTAGCTAGGATTACAGGTGTGAGTCTCCAGGCCTGACATTTGAATGTTTTGATTTCTTGATTTCCAGGCTACCAGCCCGATGATACAGGGATTACAGTGGAGTGAGGGAGGTAGAAAGGTAGAGTCCATATTCCTCATCCTTATCTGCAGGGTTTTTGGGAGAATGGAAGGAAATGTTGTTTATGGGCAGGGTGCTGAACATCTGCATGGAGAGTGAGCTGGGCTAGCATTACTTGTTTCACTGAATTTTTGTTACCATTGAATCTTGGGATCATCTTACCAAAAGACAGGACATTGCTTTGTAGCGTTAGTGACAGTGAGGACTGGACATCCTCTTAGGAGCCAGTGACCCTGGTTTAGCAGCAGAGTCCCCTTGTCTTCCCAATTTGCGAGGCACCCTAAGATGTGTTACTTTGCTGAATAAGTTGAGATCTGGCTTCTTGGATCTGTAGTTGGTGTCCTACTATGTAAAAAAGTGGCTTAGAAAGAAGAACTCTTTTTTTTTTTTTTTTGCCAGTCATGGGGCCTGAACTCGGCCTGGGCGCTGTCCCTCAGCTCTTCAGCTCAAGGCTAGCACTCTACCACTTGAGCCATAGCACCACTTCCGGCTTTTTCTGTTTATGTGGTGCTGAGGAATCGAACACAGGGCCTCATGCATGCAAGGCAAGCACTCTACCATTGAGCCACCTTCCCAGCCCTAGAAAGAAGAACTCTTGACAGTGTCCCTACTTTGGATATATTAGACCTTGGAGGATCCTGACAACAGTGGTTGTGAATTGTCTTTGGAATAATGCAACTTAGAGATTTGAGTGAAAAACTGAATGATGCTTCCTTTTCTCAAACAACTTTTTTTAAAGCTAGCAGTTTGGATGCCTGTGCCTGTGGTGCTTGACACTGAGTGGTAGAAGGGCACCCTAGGAACTGTGGCCACAATACCATCAATGCCAGACTGACACTGGCATAGGTGCTCCTGTTGGAAGCTGTTTTTCTTTGTATTGTAAGGCATCAAGCCAGGGCCTTGCATATATCAGGCAAGGACTCTATAGTTGAGCCATCCTCCCACCTCTTGAGTTTAATATTACTATTTTTTGGTGCCAGTCCTGGGTCTTGAACTCAGGGACTGATTACTGTCCCTCAGCTTTTTTTTTTTTTTGCCAGTCTTAGGGCCTGACCTCTGGGCCTGGGCACTGTCCCTCGGCTCTTCAGCTCAAGGCTAGCGCTCTACCACTTGAGCAATAGTGCCACTTCCAGCTTTTCTGCTTGTGTGGTGCTGAGGAATGGAACCAGGGCCTCATACATGTAAGGCAAGCACTCTACCACTGAGCCACCTTCCCAGCCCTCCCTGAGCTTCTTTTGCTTAAGGCTAGTGCTCTACCATTTGAGCCACAGCACCACTTCTGGGTTTTTTTTTGGGGGGGGGGGGGTTGGCAGTTTTTTAGTAGAGATAAGTGTCTCATAGACTTTCCTGCCCAGACTTTCCTGCAGTCCTTAGATCTTATCCTCCTGAGGAGATGGGATTACAAGTGTGAACCACTGGCATCTAGATCTTGATTTTTTTTTTTTTTGCCTAGTCCTGGGGCTTGAACTCAGGATCTGGACACTGTCCGTGAACTTCTTTTGCTTTAAGGTTAGCATTCTACCACTTGAGCCACAGCACTACTTCCAGCTTTCTGTTTATGTGATACTGAGAAGTCAAACCCAGGGCTTCATGCATGCTAGGTAAGCACTCTACCACTAAGACACATTCAGCCCCATAGCTCTTTTTTTTTTTTTTTTTTGGTCAGTTCGGGGCTTGAACTCTGGGCCTGGGCCGTGTCCTTCAGCTCTTCAGCTCAAGGTGAGCAGTCTACCACTTGAGCCACACTTCCAGTTTTTTGGTGGTTTATTGGAGGTAAGAGTCTCACGGACTTTCCTGCCTGGGTTGGCTTTGAACCGCAGTCCTCAGATCTCAGACTCTTGAGTAGCTAGGATTACAGGTATGAGCCACCAAGGTCTAACTTCTTCTGTCTTTTAATTAATTTTTTTGGTATGGTACTGAGCTTGAACTCGGGACCTCATGTGTTTGCACAGTGAGTGCTCTACCACATCAGCACTTCCCTCTTCCTCCTGAAGATGGATTATAGGGGTGGGGTGGCACATCCAGTGCTGGTAGCTTTGGAAGAAGGTTTTTGAAGGGTTATAACTTTAATGCTGTCTACATAGATAACTGTAAACAACTAGTTGTGAGGTTTTTTTTGTTTTTTTTTTTTTTCTGGTCAAGGGGCTTGAACTCTGGGCCTGGGCACTGTCCTTGAGCTCTTCAGCTCAAGGCAAGCACTCTACTACTTGAGCCACAGTACCACTTCCAAACTACTAGTTCTTTAAAAGAACTCAGGTTAGGATTGGAGTAGTTGGGGGTGTGCAGGTTAGTATAAGCACATCCTGAAGAGGCTCTGAGGCAGGATAGGCAGGGATTTGTATGTATGTAAGACATTTTATACTTTGGAAAAAATGTGTATTCAGGTTGAAGGTCCCGGGGCAGAGTTATGCCTGTCTCTGTCAAAGGAGTATTCATGATTTGCCTCTCCCGGCCCATTGAGGGAGGGGCAGGACCAATTTACCTTGCAGTTAGTGAGGTAGTTGAATTTAGGCCCATATATGGTGCATCCACATTTTTCCAGGAGATAATCCTTAACTAATCTGATTTCTCAGAGGTTCCTGTGACCCAAAGAGGATTAAGGCCTATGCTTTTTTTTTTTTTTTTTTTTTGGTTGGTCGTGGGGCTTGAACTGGGCCTGAGTGCTGTCCCTCAGCTCTTCAGCTCAAGGCGAGCGCCCTACCACTTGAGCTACAGTGCCACTTCGGTTTTCTGGTGGTTTATTAGAGATAAGAGTTTCAGCCTGCCCGAGCTGGCTTTGAACAGTGATCCTCAGATCTCAGCCTCCTGAGTAGCTAGGATTATAGGCGTGAGACATCTCTGCCCAGATTGGGCCTATGCCTTAATTACCAGTTGTACTACCAGTATTTCATTCTTGGCCAAGTGTGGTGATTTATTCTTGTAATCCCAGCTACTAGGGAAATGGAGATCAGGAGGATGACTGAGGCCAACCCTGATAATAAGTTAGCAAGATCTCATCTCAACAAAGAAGCAGGGCATCAGGTGCTTACCTATATTATCCAGCTATGATGGAGGCTTAGGTAGGAGAATTGCCATCTACGGCCAACCCTCCCCCCCCTCCCAATTCTAAAAACAAAGTGGTAGAGTGCCAGCTTAGTGAGTTCGATCCCCCATTCTACCAAGACAGATTACTCCACAAAGAAGGAAATAGAATTCCTAATTCCTTGTAACTTAAATATTCCACTGTTCCTCTCATTACTAGATTGGTTCTATATTTTAAAAAATACGCCTATAATCCTAGCTACTCAGGAGGCTGAGATCTGAGGATTGCAGTTCAAAGCCAGCCTGGGCAAGAAACTCCGTGAGACTCTTATCTCCAATAAACCACTAGAAAACCGGAAGTGGCTCTGTGGCTCAAGTGATAGAGCGCTTGCTTGCCTTGAGCTGACAAGCATAGGAACAGTGCCCAAGCACCACAACCAACAAAAAAAAGCGGGGGGGGGGGGGGGGGGGCGGGGCGGGGGAGAGGGAGGGCAAGCCAGGTGCTGGTGGCTCACCCCTGTGATCCTAGGAACTCAGGAGACTGATATCCGAGGACTGCAGTTCAAAGTCAGCCCAGGCAGGAAAGTCTGAGACTTGCCAATTAACACCAGAAACATAGAAGTGGCACTGTGGCTCAAAGTGGTAAGCCCCACGACCAAAATAAGGGGCTTGCTAAGGAATTGTCTCAAGAAATAGATCATGTGCCTAGCAAGCATGAGGTCTTGAATTCGATCCCTAGTATTACCAAAAAAAGTAATAGAGGGGCAGGGAATGTGGCTTAGTGGTAGAGTGCTTGCCTAGCATGCATGAAGCCCTGGGTTTGATTCCTCAGTACCACATAAACAGAAAAGGCCAAAAGTGGCACTATGGCTCAAGCGGTAGAGTGCCTTGAGCAAAAGAAGCTCAGGGACAGTGCCCAGACCCTGAGTTCAAGCCCCAGGACTGGCAAAAAAAAAGAAAAATGCGGCTGAGTGCATAGTGGCTCACATCTATTCTACTTAGGAAGCTAAGATCTAGAAATCTCTGTTCAAAGACAGTGTGAGCAATTTTAAGACTATTACCTCCAGAATTAAGTTGGAAGTAGAGGTATGGCTCAAGTGGTA